ATTTATAATTTATGAATTGCGAACAACTTTTGACACGAAAGCACCAACTCTGTCGTATCGAGATCAGTGGTACAAGATTGGACTAGTGCAGAACGAGATCGTGAGTTCTTCGACACAAATGCCTGACATAACACGCACATAACTCTTCTTTATGACGATAAATAAATACTAAATAACAAATCGTTCGACCACTGACAGTCGTGTAATGGTGGCTGGCGTTGGTGTCCTGAAGCTGGTGTACATTAAATAAATTTATAGCGAATATAAAAGATCCACTTACACTGCCTTAAGGCCGTTTATTAATGAATAAAGTAGCGTTTGTGAAATTTCGAATATTATAATTTTGTGATGTACTTGATGTCAGTAATAGCACTTCACTTTTGATTATTATCTCATACAAATTATTTCTTATAAATAATAAATTGTTCTTTTGTCAAAAAAATGGTTCTCTAGTGGTTACTATAATCGGCAGTTGGCACACTTGGCGAATGAGAGCTAGATAAAAAAAAACTAAAATTTCGACCGTCACGACACTAGCACTAGGCGATCATAGGTATGATGGAATGTAGTATATAGTGAGTAGTTCGTATATGATCATGTCGTATGCAATTGACATGATCATGAATTTTGACCTTTTGAGTTACTTTAAATATTATCAATATTTGGCTCAAATCAGCTTTAGTTACAATTCTTTTTTTCCGAATTTCTGTTAAAAATTACAATACATGTTCAAATTTGTATTCACTTTAACATCTGATCAGTTTTTTGTTTCCATTTGAAATAATTCTTGAGAAACGGAATATAGGAATATAATAATAGGTTTATTCAAAATAGAATTTGTTGAATACCAAAACAGTGGTAATCTTCCGAAAAAATTATTTTACATCTTTGGAAGATCCTTTAAAAAGATTTCATGTTTATGAAACACGAGCTATAAAATAGTACGGAACCAACGTTATTCGTGACTTAAGTAAAAGTCTATTAATAGTCGGCATGAGTTAGCGCCTTAGAGTAGTGAGGTATAAATTATAATAGACTACTTATGTAATACTTATCGTAAACAGACTTTATTCAAATATAACAGTGGTAACAAATGCATACAGCCCTATCTCCTGTACTAGAAAACTGTGTTTCAGGGCTACCAATTGCTTTTATTTCAAAAACCATTTTTTTCAGGTTTGTGTTTGTGGTTTCGTTTTATAAGATCCTTTCCAATAATGTGATAAAGAAATTTATGAAATATAAAGAAATATGTAGTGCACGAGTATTACCATACTGACTCCAGACTTTCTAAGTATTCATTTCTTAATTGAAAGAAGTTCATTAAAACTTATTATTATCCTAAGTTCTGGATAAAAAGTATCAAATTTTCCTTTGCACCCCAGTCGTGTCGATATATGAAAGATTTATCGAAAACCTTTTTTGCTGTATATGGACAGAAAAGATATAATGCGAAACTATATAAAGTGAAATATATCACTTTATTCATTCATTATATAACTCAGTAAATCGTTATGCGGAGAACTTTCAAAATATTCTGAGTTATGTAGGTAAGCTAAACTACGGTATTAAATTGTATAATATTAAAATATATCCATTGTCGATTTATCAAGAAGGCACGATTGCTACGTCTCATCAGTTATTTCATTTCGTTATTCCATATACATATGCCGCAATACTATTTCATCGGTAGGTAGAGACAATTCATTGTAACTATCTGCTTTATTTTTCTCTATACTAATATTATAAACTATAAAGAGGTAAAGTTTGTGAGTTTGTGATATTGTTGAATTAAAGTTTGTATTGGGAAGCAAGCTAGGGACGAACCTGAGCGAAGCGAGGGGTAAGTTGCTAGTTCTTCATATTGTTAAGAACACAGATAATGAAGTATAATAGAAGATCCTCTGTTCATTTTATACACATACATATGGTTTCTGTTAAAGATTTCACAATCAATTTTATTTACATACATGCCTAAATGTGAGAATTTTTTTATATGATGTTTATTACTGTATTGACTTATAGTTATATACATTAATATATCTATGTTTTGGTAGCATACATTAATATATAACAGGATACGAAATGTAGAGCGTGTAAGCGTATATTTTTAATCATACAAACTGATTACTGTGCTGCGGTATTTTCATGACCACATAAATAAAAACAAAATCTGCTTTAAAAATTAAAATAACTTTTTTATCCCACGAGATCATTAAGACCATCTAGATCAAGGATATTATTCTTTAAAAAGTGGTATGCCACTATACAAATTTGATGATTTTTAGCCTATTTTGTAGAAGGCCCAAATTTTTTGAATTTTTTGTATTTAATTCATATAAATAACATAAAAATTAATTTGTTTAAAGATTCGAAAAAATCCTAAACATTGCTCCTGTTTCTACGGTAAATATTTATTACTGTGGTCGCCTGACGCCTTAACATGCTTTTTCAATCCGGATAAATAACTTATAATGATAAATAATACATGCATGTAGTTAGTTCCTACTAAAATGTTGTAAAAACATTATCTGTACATATAATAAAACTGTAACTAAGTCGAATCTGTACATTAAATATTTTTTGGAAAATCTTATTGAAATAAACGTTATTATCGAAACAGAGGCCGAATCTATAGTTTTTAGAATTTTTGTATGTCTGTCTGTCTGTTACCGCATCACAGAAAAATCACTGGAAGGCTTTTGATGAAATTCGGTATGGTGATAGCTGGTTATCCGGGTCAACATAAAGGATACTTTTTACCAAGGGAAAATATCTCATTTCTAAAAAAAATACAAAAACTGCATTGTAAGAGTATACTAATATGTAAAACCTAAAAATTTGGTTTTTGGTCATCTGAGCGCGGGCGGAGCTGCGGGCAATGCTAGTACATACATAATCGTAATTTGTTTATACGATTTCAAAACAATATTCGTCATTTATTAATGATCACATAAAGTATACAAATTAAAAAACTCATAAGATCAATTTAGATTTTTTCAGTTACATCCGCTTAACGTCCGGTTTATTCATGGGAAAGGCGGATGTAGATAGACGTGTATTATATGATGAATATACTTTAGACTTTTAAGGGATATTTCCTTCCTTTATTGACAGGGTGTAGTTTTTGTGTATGTATGTCTTAATAGATTTCAACATAATATTATATGTTGGGGACATTAACACACAGCACCATCTAGTTCCATGGTAAGCTACGAGGCTTGTGATATGGATACCAGATAGTTGATACACTCCACATATATCACTTTTAAATATATACATATTATAAATATAAACGCCCATGACTGGGGTACAAACATTCGTGCTCATCACACAAATGAGTGCGCCAGCGGGACTCGAACCCGAGACCGCGGGCACAGCAAGTAGGGTCACTACAAACTGAGCCAAACGTGTCGTCTATTATGATGTGTTGTTAGATTTTTCTTAATTGTGTAAGTAGCATGAATAAAATTGAAATACAAGTATGCGAAGAGAAGCGGGGAATATAAGAAATATACCTACGTTATAATATGCATATCAAATAAAAGTTAGTAAATAGATAATCCTAAAAAGACTAGTATTGGTTTACCTTCATATTCACTACGAGTAGGTACAAGATGGTAAATTCCTGGCCTTTTGACACAAACTGCAGAAAAACAATAAACGTTAATAATTTTTAGTTGTGCATTAAAGAGTTAAGTGCACAACTAAAAATTACAATTAAAGTTTATTGTTTTTCTGCAGTTTGTGTCAACTATTATTTTTATTATTATTGTAGGTATATTATTTGTGTTAACTATTTTTTACTTATAAATAAATAAATATTATATTCAGACCTTTTTAGACCCGCTACACTCGGTTCCAAATCCTGGGTCTAGCACTTCTGACATTTTCACGTGCGAATCATTTCTAACATGATTATCACTTGCCTTACGGTGAAGGAAAACATCGTGAGGAAACCTGCATGTCTGAGAGAACCTAGCAAGTTTTCGAAAGACATATGAAGTCCGCCAACCCGCACTTGGCCAGCGTGGACTAAGTCCTGATCCCCCTCGTATTGAAGGGAGGCCCGTGCCGTATGGTAAGGCTCTTTGTAGAGACGCTATGTACCTAACTTTTAATTTTCCAAAGGCCGATGTTTTAGACTTCATTTATACCCATGTTAATATAATCTATACTAATATTATAAAGAGGTAGTTTGTGAATTTGTGACGTTGTAGGGGGTAATCTCTGGATCTACTAAACCGATTTAGATGTGCAAAGAAGATAGTTTGAGACCTTGGGAAGGACATTGGATACTTTTTATCCCGGAAATCATCCCCTAAGGGGGTGAAAATGTGGATGAAAGTTGGTATGGGGAATCAAGCTAGGGGCGAACCCGAGCGAAGCGAGGGTGAGTCGCTAGTATGTTTATATAAACGGTTAAATAACTTGTCGTTGTGTTTATCTTTCCTTATAGGTAGTAAACCAGAATCGTCTTATATCAATAACTAATAAAATAATTAATTATTTAAACATTTATTATAGCTTTATGGCTTACAACACACGCCTATGTAAATATGTGAAACTGATGTCACGTTCTCAGTCTAAAGCGCTATGAAGAAATTGCTTTGCATGAGGTAGGCTTATAAAATACAGAATTTACGTGAATAGTAACGATTATGACGTCAATGTTTACTATATATGTTTTTGCGATCTAGCCAAATATGAAGATTTGATTGATTATTTCTGGCATATTTATTAATAAACCATCCATTAATTGCCCACTTACATTTACATATTGACATACCTACCTAGCTATTTGAGAAAGAAAACGAAAAGGCATAAATACCACTTTCTTGTAAGATCTTTTTTTTAAAATAGAAGTAACTGGTTTTCACATTGCGAAGTATCTATATAAATAAATAAGCCTGCAAATACATTTATCCAGTTAATGAGATACTTTAAAAAAACTGCTATTTTAATCTTTCAACAAGCAAACGTATTAGTGAGAGCAATTAGGATGAGAAGGGTAAATAAAGTGATCTATTTGAATGATCGTAGTAGGCGGGAGGTGCGGCGGGACGCAACGAGTGCCCGGAGGCGGGAGTGCGAAGGATGCCCACTCCGACACCGCGTGGGACTACGGCGAGACGCCTCACGCTTCCCGCTCTACGAACTACGAACGCACTTTTCAGATATCGCGCCTCACGTATCGCAGCACATAATATGCATCTGCTATTCATTTTCTGGATCCATGCAACTGTGTGTAATCGTTGTGAAGTGTTCAGAATTATAAAAACCTGCACTTATGATACTGAAGTATTTTTATATTAGTGATTTAATATACATGGGTAATTAAAACACGTGTGTAAAGAGACAGTGAAATTGGTGAAAAACTTTTCTAATCGTCAGTGTTGGGATGTGAAATATACAGTTTATTACATACAATAATCAATATGAGGAAGAAAAATCAGATCCAAGCTCCTGATACACCAAAAAGAAAACAAAAAGTAAGCCCCAATTTTATTATATTTATTAATATAATCGGGAAGCGATTCTTACGCTATTACGTTTCGATCTTGACATAGTTTCTTACTAAATATTTAGTTTTATTATTAAATATTAGATACAATAACAGCGGCCGTGAATTACTATAATTCATTATTAAAGTAAATAATTAATTTTGTTTATAATATGTATAAATCTGAACAAAGTTCATGCCAATTTGCCCTAATCAATTTAATGTGTAGTACATACAAGTATTTACACTTTGGTACACGAATCGCATTTAATACATTAGTTACATCTATTTATATATTTAATTATACATTTATATATATATATATATATATATATATATATATATATAATAATTAAGATCATGGGACATATATTGTCCATTGTAAAAAAGTAAATAATGCCTTAAAAGTAATTATTACAGTGATACTGTTTCATTCTCTCTTGCTTTAAAGTCAGTTAAGGTACAATAGACACATATTAGCTAACTTCAAAATTCAGTGTACGAATAAATCAAATCAATTTATTCTTTACTTCAGTAGGCGATTGATAAAGTTAAAAAATATTCCGTTATATGTTTATTTGGATAAGAGCTCATAGCTCAAAGGCCCAGAGTCAGTCGTCAACCTATAAATATCCTTTGATTTATTATATTCTTAAAGTTATTAAACGAATTGGCCAATTTTGGCGCGCATTTCATATTTTCTATCTATTAATCGGTGATTATTTAATATGCATTTCCAAGTGCCAAGAAATATATATGTATATGTGAACTCTACATAAAAAGTCATTAAATATTATATACGTACTGTAATGCACTTGATAAAACCTTCTTCATAATATTCTAGCCCAGACTAAAGAATTATACACAGACAGAGGCCACAAAAAAAATTTCAAAGTCAAAAAAATAGCGTGGTTTTGCTGTTTATATTATGCTACCACTCTCGATTTTGCCTCGTTTAGTTTCTTTAAAGAATGACTAAGGGGAATTAATATTTAGAGAAGTCGTTAATTTTCAATGTGAATAAAAAAATTAGAAATAATAAAAATCCAAAATTTTTATTTATTATATATTTGCGTCATACGTTCGTTATAGGTACGTACCTAAATCTAAATCTAACACCTAAATCTACTGTACTTAATTTTTTTAACTCAATACATTCGAGGGTATTTCCTCCCCTTGTTCAGTTTTTCCTTTTGAGGTACAAGCTCTGAAAATAATTTATTCTGTGCTTATAATAAAAGATCTTTTTTCAATATCTATAAAAAACTAATTGTGTTTTTTGACAAAAAATTACACTTACTTCAAAATCACCTTAAAGTTGTTGTGTAAATGAGGTATTCAAGCCTTAGGGAGAGTGATTTTTCTTAAATGTAACAGAGAATCGGCCAACCTTGAATTATTATGGCATTTTAAAATAGTTCAAGTTATCGCGAAATATATACCTGAAATATTAATTTCCTCCTTTTTTTTTAGTTAGTTAAAATAGTGATTATGGAAAACTTTCATTAAAATCCACAAAACTAGCTTGAATAGCTTGACTTCCTCATGATGATTTTTATATTGTGACTAGCGACTCACCCTCTCTTCGGTCGGGCTCTTCCCTAGCTTGCTTCCCAATAGAAACTTTCATCCCCATTCTCACTTAAGGGATGATTTCCGAGATAAAAACTATTTCACTCACTCACTTTTCTATCATGAGATTAAAAAAAATGATTTTAGTAAAAAAAAATTAATTTTGTTCTACAAAACTTCCTGACAATAACAAACACAAAAAAAAAGGAATTATCCAATTTGGTTCAGTCGATCGGAAGTTATGTGCGTACATACATTTCGGTGATTCTTTTTTATTTATATAGATAGATTAACTTAAGTCTTAGTCTAAAAAGATGTCAAAAATAATTTTATAACTATAAATAGTGCTTAGAATCTTTATAAAAAGATACTATAAATTAAGTTTTAGGAGCAACAATTTTATATTAGTCTTATAATTTAGTAATAAGCACATGAAAATAAAATAAGGCGCTTTATGAAATCAAGTAACGAGGTGGTTTGTTTTTATCTAAAAACATCTCGGTTTCGGTTATTTTAAGTTATAATTCAATAGTAATTTCATTTTAATATAAATAATATATGCGTACATACATTAAATTATATCATTGCTTGTATTTTTAAACTCATACTAAAAACTTTATTATATAAATTAGTATTTAAAATGTTAATCAAATATTTACAGTCACAGAAGCAATTAAGCAAACAATTAGTAATTTTAAATGAGTATAGATAATATTATTATGTTACTATCTGCGTCCGTAATGGTGTATATGTTGTTCTAAATGGTTTTTCAACTAATAATGTACGTAATACGTAAAGCCTTTGACTCATCTTTTTGTTAATAATTATATATATATAATTCTTTTCTTTTTTTTGATATTTAATTCTCTACTTCTTAGTTTTATTAAAGTGAAACTTCTTTAAACGCGCCATGAGAGGGAAAAATTAAAAAAAGTAATACGGTATAGGTGATTTTTGTAACGGAAGCGGTTGTTACGGAAGTGAAGAAACAGTCAATTAAAAATTATTTAAATATTATATGAATATTTCAAAGAATACATTAAATATTAAGATAGATTTTTATAAAAAAAATACATCTTTCATTTATTTTTAAATGAGCGATGGAATCATAGATAACAAATGAATATTGATAAAAAATTATTCACTTGAAATATTTTTTTATCCATTATACGTATATTTTTATTTTACTAAAAAAATTGCATCCCTGTATTATCTATACATATAATAAAATTCTAACTAAGTCAAATCTGTACATTAAATATTTTTTAGAAAATCTTATTGAAATAAACATTATTATCGATATAGAAGCCGAACCTATAGTTTTTAGAATTTTTGTCTGTCTGTCTGTCTGTCTGTTACCGCATCGCAGAAAAACCACTGGAGGGACTTTGGTGAAATTTAGTATGGTGATAGCTGGTTATCCGGGTTAACATATAGAATACTTTCTACCGCGGGAAAATGTCTCATTTCTGAGAAAAAATACAAAAACTGCAATGTAAGAGTATACTAATATATATCATCTGAACGCGGGCGGAGCCGCGGGCAATGCTAGGTAACTAATATACTCCAATAAATTTTATTTTATTGGAGTATATTAGTTATTAAATCATTACAACATTTGATTGAAAATGAAATTTTATCTTAACACCATCTGCTATGTGAATAATAAAATATTGTTTTACTTTTTAAATCAATAAAACAAAATTTTTAGCGCCTCTCCTATCCTAATTATTTAAAACATAAACTGAATTTCATAAAAAGTACCGATAACCTACAAAAGTTTCACTTCTTGCGCGTGTACACATTTATATTTTGATACACGCGCTTTTTATTTTATTTTTTATTTATGTGTTATGTTATATGGTAGTTTCGTTATTCATTAGTTCGTTTTTCTTTTCATCCTTTACTATTTTCAATATATGCATGTAAAAATAGAATTCAAATAACAATATAGGTATTTATAGATGTTGTGTTGTCCTATTATTAAATTGAAATATTTTTGAAAGGCTTAACTTAAAATATTTTTTATATTGTGATTTGTGATGTATATATATATATATATATATTTATTCTTTTCAATTACCGTAAATAAGTAAATAATAAATAGCTTCCAAAGTTAAGGAAAATAAATGTTAAAAATATATATTTTAATGTTTAATTAAAGTTGAATAATAAACAATAGCCATGGATATCAAAAGTATGACTACGAACTATGAAGTTATCACTTACATGCTTAAAGGATAGAAAAAATATATTTATTCAGTAGGAAGTACCTTTTTTAAAGCTTAACTTTTAAATTTAAAGTAAAAAAATCAATAAATTCTACTTACTCTCATAGGATGTGGTTTTCCTTGTGTGATATGTTAATTACAAATTTTAAACTTTCTACTTTCCTGTTGTAAATCCAAATTAAAATATTAAAAAAATGGAAAGTGGCTAAATAATCTAATTTTATATATTAGAAGAAATAGAACCCAAAACAATGTTTATTAGATTTTTTGTCTGATTGTCTGTGCGTTTGTGTGCGCAGAAACGGCTTAACCGATTTAAATGCGGTTTTCACTAATGTATTGTGGTATTCACTTAACATTTAGTATTTGTTGTTTTATTTCAATCAGTTCATAAATAAAAAAGTTATGTAACTTTAAAAGATCACCTAGGGACTAACCCGTGCGAAGCCAGTCGCTACTCGCTAGTAAGTAACATATAATATTTAATAGCGAACGTACACGAGTCACGATAAGAATGTTTTAGGCGTCTGTGGTGTAGCAATTTTCTGTTGGAAGAGATTCGAATTGATAAAATAAATATGCAATAAATTTTTGTGTTTGAAAATAATAAAATGCTTTCAAAATTCCCTTGTATTTTAATAGAGTCTTGAAATAATTTTTTTTAATAATTTCTTTATGGGATGCTTTTTGGCATGCTTTTAAAAAGAATGGAACTGTAGCAGTTGTACGCAATCTTATTTTAAAGCTTATTTTAATTTAAAAGGTCAAGTTCGTATATTGACTTAACATTGACGCTAAAACAAGAGCTAAGGCTTTTCTTGACTATTTATCACTTAAGTAGGTTTACATAGATTCATTTCTATGAAATATTATATTTAGATTTTATAAATTAATTTAATTTAATAAAATGTTAGTTTCCAGTCTTTTATATACATACATATACATTATCACAGTCATGTTTGTCTGTATCACAAATGACATAATGCTATGCTAGCCGGTATTAATGACACAAACGTATTTTTAATAATATGGTATAAGACAGGTAAGTATAGGCATGAAAACATGTGCCTCATATTAAGCCATCTATATTTCTGGTACGTGATACTATAATTATGCTCAATAGCTCAAGCTTGCTTAATTATTTGTATATCTGTGGAATTTAGATGGTAATTTAATATGTACAAAA